AGATCATCATGTTGTTTAAACCAAGTCATGTTAATTTACCAATAAAAGTAAACAAACGAACGTTTTAAACAATTTTATAAATTATTTGTTTCTTTTGTTAGTGTCACTCTCTCAACAATATACTAATAGAATGCTACAGGACTAAACACCTAACTTGTCTCCATTTCTTGCAAAGTCCTGGCACTCTGGAAAGAGACTAGTCATCAATCTTCACTGTAGATGTCCCCCACAAAAGGCAGGTGCATGTGGCTTCCAGTGACATTGGGCAGTCGAGATAAGTCTGGCAGGCTTTGGATCCAGGACCTGAGTTCTTTGAGCACCAGATAAACTCTGGCTAGCTTGTGCTTATATTCTTCCAATTTATGCTCTTTCTCTGCAAGGGCTTCTTTTTGACAATGAAGAAAATCTGATAACATTCGAATGAGTTGCTTCCTATCATCTATTTGTGCAGCCAATCTGCCATTATAATCTTCCATCAACATATAAGTACCCTCTACCATTTTAGAAAGCCTTTCTCCAGATTCTTTATCTGTTATTTTATCTAGTATGGATGCTTCTTGGACTTCAACAGGCAAAGAAGCTATCCTCTGATGAACTGCTGCATCACCCGAAGCTGCATTTTCTAGATCTTGTAATGCTCTAATGAGATCTAGAGTCTGTGGTGGTTCACTTGGAGATCCCAGGGAGGAACAGTTTTCATTTTCATCCACCTTTATCTGTTCGTAAGTTCGCTTCCTAGGTTTCTTATCACCATATAGAGCTTGCTTAAGTTGTTCTAACACATCATTTTCAGACCTTTCTTCCCAAATAGATAGAACTCTTCCAAGGTGCTTCTTACAACTTTCATCAGTTTCACTTGAAACATGCTTAAAAGCCTCCACTATCGACGGCACATAACAACAACAATAACAACATAACTGGTGCAAAATCTTTTGGAAACACCGGCCCCTTCCTTTTGCTGTTCTGAATGGCATCATTGGCTAGGTAGAGAAAAGTAAGCTTCCTGTTTGGTTTGGCTTTACGAAGCTCCCGTTCCCACACAGTGACGATGGGCCGTGAGTGCTTGTGATGGTGGATGAGGCATGAAGACAAGGTCTGCACGCTCTGCTGCGAGTTGCTCAACTGACAGCTTCTTCTCCAACGCCGCCTCAGAGAAAGCGGACATCCCTCCGACACCATGTTCACGCAGTCCCACGTGCTAGGGCCGTGTGGAGGAGAGTTTCACCGCCCTCCTCACTGCCTCGCCCCCTCACCTCACCCTACCCCACGTCCTCAATATCCCCGGTGCCACATCCAAGTCCGGCCGCAAACCAGCAAGATGGCATCTGGCCCTGTCCTTCCTTCTCTTGTGTGGCCATTTTGTCTTAAAGTCTGTTTTATCAGATATTAATATTGCTACTTGGGCTCT